ATAATTTAATTTTGCTAAAATGTTAACAAATTTCCGTTATTTTATTAATGATTTAGCGTCACAGTCTGCAATACATTAGTCTCTAATGACGGAGAATCAGTTAGGAAATCGTCTTATAGGAGACAATCCCAATTTCAATAGCTTTACAAGTAAACACCGATCATACCTTACACTTTAATAAAATATAAAATAATAAATAATTGAGTGACTAATTCCTGAAAATTATATCAGCAGGGTCCTTTCTTAAGTTTAAATGCTATGAGGATTTTTGGCATCTGATTGATATTCACAAACTCTAAGATACGTTGCTTTTTGATAGAGTAAAGCCAAACAACCAAAACATTTTGCTCAGCTTTTTAAATATAGTAAATTATACGATGAAAATGATATGGGATTCTCAAAAACAGTAAGATTAGCATCACCCACTTTCGTTGTTTTGGCAATATGATCCTGTGACCACTTTACTATTCGCCATTCCCTCCATCAGCTCCACCCCTGATTCGAAAGCACCGACAGGAGATTTGATATCACAAGGCAAAGGAAACCTTGAGTGAAGATTGTTGTGCGCCCAAGCACCTGAACGCACGAGAACATCAAAACGGCCAATTAGAACTCGGATGTTGTCCAGCTGAAGCATATATGTCTCATAAGCGCGCAGAAAGGATAGTGATGATGGGCTGAGTCCACTAAGAGAAGCATTTGATTGTTGAGGATGCAGTATTGATTTAATATTGCCTGGCTTGGTATCAAAATAAGTGGCATCACAAGTAGAGGGTTGGTAGGCTGGAGGAATAAGCTGCTCTGAGGGCTGAAAAGGCTGCAAAGGACTGAATGGACGACATAAATGAGAAAAAAACATAACAAAAAATAAAGCATGCTATTCTAGACCAAAACTATCAATGTTCATTTAACCGCGACCTATCTTAGAGACATTAAAGCTATAGTTAAGCATTATAATTTTCAGGACGAATGTATCGAAAATTTATTGCCTTCAATTAACTAAAGATATAAAGACCAAGATGGTGTGGCCTTTTGTGTGGTCGCAGTCTCTAACTTCTAACTAAAGATAATTCAAAAAAAATGCAAGACAGACGCAAAATATGGGCCACAGATATGAGAAATTAAAC